AGAAGAAGAAGAAGAAGAAGAAGAAGAAGAAGAAGAAGAAGAAGAAGCACTCTACACTCTGTTGAGTCTGTTGAGGGTCTCCCAAGACTTTTAAATTGATATGTAATGTGGCATTTAAGTCCTTATCATTCTTGATCTCTTTAAACTGTTTGTCATTGTTGTCTCTTCTCCTTGGAAACTTTGTTCCTTAATTTTTTGACTGTATGGCCACCTTGATTATTTGACAGAGTACATATGTATTTCATTTTGTTCTCTAATGCACATCTTTACTTTTGACAACTACCAAACATTCTTCTTCTCCTGGTCACATTCTGGGACCATTTCTCTTCTCATACTGCCTAGTCACATCAAGGAAACATATTATATGACTTCAACTACTACCTAGACACTAATGATTCCTAAATCTGCATTTATGGCCCTGCCTTCTAAGTCTTTTGTCTTGTAATGATTTTGTACCATCCGTTATTATCAGAGAGAAAGGGATAACTGGAAATAAGGCATTCTTAGCTCTCCTCGATTTATCAATATGGAGGGAATTTATGTCATATTTCATAAGATTGAAAGTGAGAATTTTAAGGTTTATTCACATGGAAACCAAAGAAAAATTGTATTTGGTATCCTATCCATGCATTTTCTCAGCAATGGCAGACACATTTTTCTGTGATTGTATAAATCCCAGATGACCTCCTTCTACAACTTTATAACAGGCAGCAGAACAGCTTCTTTTATAGGTGCTCATCTCTCAAGGTAAGTTGTGAGAATGAGTTTTCAATATGTCATTAAAGGGACAAATGAATATTGACAGTTGAGGCCGGGACCTTATCATTCCCTTTGCTTCATGCTCTAATATTCTAACCTGCTGCTACTTAAAGTGACAGTGACAGTGAAACCCCAATTCCTACAGAATTAAAAATCTTACAAGAAAAAAAAAGACATGATTCAATTGCACTACCTTCTCTGCTACTAAGGTACAACATAATATAGAAGTGTCTTCCCTGCTAATTCTCGACTCAGCTTCCTCTTATCTAAGATGGAGATAATAATGTCTGACCTATCTCCATTACTGCATTGTGTTTGTTCAAGTCATTAAGGGACTGTAGATGGTATTCATGTAGAGGAGACCTTTATTAATAACCAACAGACAAAATGATACCAGAAATATATGTTGGTAGGGGTTGAAATGTATAGGTTCCCAGGCATGTTAAAATACAGGGTTTCATTCATTGAGCTCTAATGGACCTTTCAAATGCCTAATCTCATTATACTTTTTGTTTTAAAGAACATTGAAATTACCTTTCTATGATAGCTGCTACTCTTATTTTGTTTGGGATTTGGGCTTATGTCTGTTTTATTCTGAGTTGAAATGTTAAAGGAGTTCTTTGACATTTTTGATCTGCATACCTTGTGAAGTATAAATTCTGTATCTTAGCTTTAAAAAAGAAGCAGGAACAAAGTCTACACGCTATTTGATGCTTGCTTTTGCCATCATTTATAGATGACATTTTGATGAACATTCAGAATGAAATAAGTATGTTTGTCTTGTCTCTCATGTAGTTTTGGCACCTTTTGAAAAGCATATGTGTTTATCAACGTGTGGCAGTAATTTCTGAGAAGAGCAACATAACCATGTGGTAAGATAGTCTTTCATCTGAGAGACAAGAGCGCGTGCCTTGAGAACAAATGTGCACTCAGCAGATTAAGCATATGGCACAGAGTGATGGAAACAGAATAGAGAGTTGGAGAAAACATGATTTCATAATTTAGTCTTTTGTTTAGTAACCTGATGAAATCACAGTGTCTAAGAACTGAAGAAGACAACCTTGAGGTTATCTGACTCTCTGATTTTTCAAATATTTTACTTCCTGCATACTTTTTTCAATAACTACTTACCCTTGCCTAATATTCTGCATATCTCTCTTGGGTATACTAAAATTAAGTTTTATTTAAAATAATTTACTTCTTAGAGAAGGAAATAATTTATTACCATGTGTTTGAAATATTATTTATTAACCTAAGAAAAATATTTTCTTAAGAATTATCAATTAATTATACTAAATGCATTACATTAATTATTAAATAAGATTTTTGCCCAAATTTATCCCATAATAATCTCATAATCAAGTATTGAGAAATGGGTCCAATTCTGAATTTTCTTTATAAACTGAAATATATAAAAAACCATTTTTCTATTCTAAGGGGGATGGCTCTTGATTGACATCACACAGCAAGGCTACAACAAAAATGAAATTTATTTTTAACAAGAAAGTAAACCCCACATTAAGATAGCATTTTAAATATTTATTCCTTGAAATTATCACTTTTTTCTTCCTTAATTTCCTGGCAAACTTAGATGTGTGACCTAGTTATGAAATGTGTTGATATAAAACTGTAAAAAGCTTAAAAATGAGAATTAAAATGTGAGCTAAAGAATCAATAGGGTTTACAGAGAAAATAATATTAATGTCCACAAATACAAGCTTTCAGTCTTTCTAAACAGAAGGAAAACCTAGACATTGATAATATGCCTAACAGCTGCATAAATCTCAGGGGTCCATGAAAGAGCTAGCACTAGTACTGACTAATAAGACAGAAACATAAAGTTTAACTCTGACCTTGGTGAACTGAAAGGATTGTAGAGTATGACCAAAGCAACACCCTAGCTAATGCCAGGGACAGAGCCAAAGCAATTCTTTCTGAGAGAGTTTTTCTAGATTTAGTAAATAGGGCGATCATTTTTTTTAAACTCTGGACATAGGAAGTAAAAAGAGGCACTGAGCTTAATACTTCCATTTAGGATCAAGATAATGACAATAATAGTAGGAAACTCTAAAGTCAATATTAATTTATTGTTGTATCATAATTGGCTTTATTAACTAAAACAAATTTGTAATAACTAGTTTCTGGGACTACTTGGGTTTTTTAAGTAAAATATTGTATACATTATTTTATTTTTGAAATTATAATTACATTTCTCCATTCCCTTTAGTCCATCTAAACCCTTCCATACACCTCTCCTTTTCTACAAATTTAAAATCTCTTTGTTTACCATTTTCTCATGCATATATATACTTATATATAAGTTATATATACTTATATATAATTAAGGTTATACTTAAATATATATATATATATATATTTCTAAGTATAACCTTTTAAAGTGGTATGATCTTACTTATGTATATTTTCAGGACTAACCATTTGGCAGTGGACATCCAATGGGTGCACTCTTCCCTGGAGAAGATCATCTCTCTTATTCTCAGCTTTCCTTGGTTGCCTGTAGTTCTTTGAGTAGTACTGCTGGGGCCTTATGACTTTTCCCCATCCACTTTGTAAGAGTCAGAGGATCAGGGATTTGCTGTAAGATTAGGTCTCCTAGTAATATCAGAAGCAACATTTATAAAATCTCACCAACATGACTGCATGCCTGGCCAACTGTGAACTGACAAAGGATGACACCAGTGCACATTCCAAAGTATTTTAGAATCTCTATCCTTTCTCTTAAAATTAAAATTGTAGTGGTTCACTGGGCAGTCGTGGTGCGTGTCTTTAATCCCAGCACTTGGGAGGCAGATGCAGACAGATCTCTGTGAGTTCAAGGCCAGCCTGGTCTATAGTGCAAATTCGAGGACAGATTCCAAAGCTATAAAGAAACCTCTCTCAAAAAACAAAAAGAAAAACAAACAACAACAAAAAAAACTGTAGTGGATCATTAAAGAAGTTGAGTTAAAAATAAAATTTACTCCTCAAGATTATCAATATCGTTTTGGTTTTTATGCAGCTTCATATTTAGGCCCTATTCCTCCATATCAACCTCAGGCCACAAATAGTTAACTTGATGTTAACCCAGATTTGAGATCTAGCTCTCTTTTCCTGTACCTGGTTTGTGCATTTGAACTTGTTTACACAAGCTAGATTTTCTAAAATCTTCCTGCTCCTTGTGACTTTTACTTTATTGTAGCTGTTTTTTCCTTCTTAAAAAGTTTTTGAAAGGTCAATTGTTTGTCCAGAAGCTTCTCCCAAGGAGAGAAGGAGGGAACTGTTGTGTATCAGTGCTCTGGTTCTACAAGTTAGTGCCTTCTTTGCCAAACGGCGCTTTGTCTCAACAAACAGAAATGTGATCTTCTAGAAAAAGTGAAAAATAACAAACAAAAGAAAACAAAAAATCAAGGTAAAGCAAAAGAAACTTTAAAATGTAATGCCATGTGGGCCACACTACCTATTTATCTTAGGTTAAAGGTGTAGAATATGCTGTAATTTGTAAGTTTGCTGTTGTCATTTGCCCACCTGACTTTCTCAAGCAGAAAAGCACTTTCAAAAACGATTTGAGAAGCATGACCCTCTCCCAGTTAGAAGTTTTAAGATCTGTGGGATTCTATTTTTACATATTAAATGATTTGTCCTTTATACTTTTGAGGAGGAAGCATCTTCTGTATACTAAGTTAGCATTTTACTATAGCATTGTTAGCTGTCATGTCTATTATTCAGTGACCCTTGAATGTAAATGTGTAAGAAGTATCTATCTTTCAGGAAAATCAAAGAATTTTTCTGTAATCAGACTCTCAACCTCTATTCTCTATTTCTGGCCATTAGAATTTTGTGTTTGTATAACTAGATGTTATATAAGTACCAATAAATCAATTTTTATGTTCTTTAGGTTTCAATTTCGCATTTGCTATTTTATTTATTTATTGTTCTTTCTAAGTGTTGTGCGTGTGCATTTATAATGTTTTTATGCTGTATAAGTGTAGGCATATAGAATGCATGTGAAGACCAGAGGACAACTTTGGTTCCTTGGTTCTTGTCACTTTGTGAGGTAGGGTTTCCTAGTTTCTGATGATCTGATGATCTTATGGGTACTGGATAACAGATTTGGTATCTGAATTCAGCTTTTTGTGGTTGCCAGGAATCTAATTCTGGTACTACAGCTAGCATGGAGTTTTAATTCACAAAGCCATCACGCTGACCCAATAGATTGATTTTCAAATTGATTGGTTCTCCTTGGTAAGAAAAATATTTATGCAGAAATGATCAAATTCTTTTGGAAATATACCTCTAAATTAATTGTATGGCCAAATTGTATTGAAATGTCACTTAATCTCTGCTGGTTTTGCTAAAACAACTTGGATAAATGAACAGACGCAATTTCTTATTATACAATGATAACTCAATGTGTTACTCAGAAGATATTCTTCATTATGGAAATATTTTAATATGTACAAAAGAAAGATAGCAAGATGCACCCTAATGTAGTGCATCATATCTTAGCTTTACTCATTGAGAATATATTGCAGATTTTTATCTATCTGTCCTTTCTTTTAATTTCTTCTATTTTATTGAGTTAAAGCAATTCCTAAGTAAAATTTCGTGTGTGTGTGTGTGTGTGTGTGTGTGTGTGTGTGTATGTAATACCATGAGACCATTTAACTCACACATTATCATTCATCATAGGTATAAATTGCTCCTGGACCCAGTCATTGGAATATTAGAGGGTACAGCACAAAACTTCGGGAACTACGGAAATCTTGGAATTTCAGTTCATGCTCTCTACCAACAACAACTGTGTGACTCTGGACCTTCAGCTTCCCTTTGTTTCAAATGAAAGAGTTAAATGTAATTTCTAAGTCCTAATTAATCAAGATATTCTGAATTTACATAGCCAAATGATTAAGTTTGCTAGTCTGTCTTATGTTATTAACTAGATGAAGAAAAAGAATTAGAACCTGGTGTCTTTAAACACTAAGTGTGCTAAGATTTTTGAGTTGAAGGTAGAAACATAAAAGCTAATGAGTTTTGAACAAGATTGTTTTTTATCGTCTGAAGCAACTTTTCCTGTAACTGCCTAAGAGAGAATACCCGATAATTATTTGAAAACAGTAATAATGTGGTTTCATCATTCTGACTGCCTTCCTGCTTAAAGGGCTAGCCCCAACTTGTCGGAAATGCTCCAAAAGCCTGCGCTTGCAGCGCCCTCTTCTGACCTACCACCCCGCAGGTAAGTCAGGTTGTCATTTCTGACTTGCCCTGGGGCTTGAGACTTCTTGCTCCCTCATCTGCTACAGCTTTGTTTTGAAATATTACACATGCGAAAGGCACAAATACTGTGAAAAGAAAAATGTGAGTATAAATAATATTTTATATTTTCTTCTAAGCTTCCATTTTGAAATTTGGGGAGTTTTACAAAGGGAGAAATAACTGAAATTTGAAAGGTGGTTCAAGTCTTGATCAAGCAAGGAACAAACTTGTGTAAGAAAATTATATGAAAATAAAAAATGAAAAAATACTGCTAAAACTTTCAGATGAATAAGAAGTAATAAGTAGCATATTGAAATTCAAACCCATGCTATAAACTCTCCGCCTTATAGCAGAGAAGCAAGAAATGATACCCTACACAGCTAGCACTCTGTCTTTTAAAATCAACCTAAAATTCTATACTAACAGACAAGTGTTCTGTGATAAAACATTCTAATACTTCACCAGTCATTCTCCTCTACCACCCACTCATGCTACATTCCTTCTTACCCTAGAGCTTTTCTTACAAAATGACTTCCTTTCTCCTTACTGTTCATGCAAGAGATCGGGGCTGCATTCTTGTCAGGCCCATCACAAATCTTATGTGTCTTTCGTGGGTCGCACTGCCTGAGTATTAAGTATTTATCACCTCCCTGTTCTGTTCAAATGTTCAAAATGTTGTTTACAGACATCTTGTTGAAAAGCCTTGCCTACTCATCATCTGGGTTGATACTATTTCTGCCTCTTGGATGATCTGCATATTTTTATTGGTGATTTCTTTAGCATTTGTGTTCATTAAACCCAATCTCTAACCTGCTTACCCAGAAATTTCCAAAAATCTCTCAGTTGTGACAAAAAAAAAACCTGATAAAACAAAATCACACAAGGTAACAACTTTTAAATTTATGTGAGTGTGACATTTTCTTAGCAAAAAAATAAATAAGTAAGAAGAGGAAAACACAAGGTCTATGTACTATAGTAGACTTTTGACATCTGTAAACCCTTAGCCATGAGGCCAGAATACACACTTGTTTTTATCACGCACATATTTCTGAATGAACACATTTTGAGGGTTTTCTTTTTCTGCATTTGTTGTTCTTATATTTGCTCCATAGCTAAGGCTGCTCTAAAACTCACTATGAATCCCAGGCTGTCCTCAAACTGTAGGGCAGTTCTCTGGCCTCTTGCCTCAGTTTCCCAGGCTCTAAGATTATAGATATGATATAGAATACCATATGTGTATGAACTAAACATTATTTTGAGCAACTATGGTGCAATAATAAACAAAATATATGTCTTAACCCCATGGACTACAGTCTATTGACAGAACAAAATTTATATAAAGAAGAGTGAGATGCACAGAACTAGTTAACATTAGTGTTTGGAGTGTCCATAGGGTCACCTGTTCATAATCTAAATAGTACCACTTTATTTCATTCCATATGTACATACACATCACCAACAATTTTTTTTTGAAAGTAATTTTATTAAATTATAAAAGTTTCCATTTACGCCCCTCTTCCCAACACCCTCCCACTCCCCCCCTCTCTCTCCTCCTCCCTCTTTGTCCCTAAGGGCAGTCAGGGTTTTCTGCCCTGTGGGAAGTTCAAGTTCCTCCCCCCTCCCTCCAGGTCCAGGAAGGTGAGTATCCAAACAGACTGGATCCCAAAAATCCAGTATATGCAGAGGAAACTAGTCCCAGTGTCATTGTCAATGGCTTCTCAGAAAGACTCCAGGCCAGCCACATTCAGCCACATTCAGAGAATCTGGTTGGATCACGTGCTCGTTCAGTCGCAGTCCAACTGGCCTTGGTAAACTCTCATTAGATCCGACCCCTTCTATCAGTGGGTGATAGCATCCCTCGCAGTCCTTCACCATTTTCTTCCTCCTTCTGCTCCTCATTTGGATCTTGGGGGGCTCAGTCCGGTGCTCCAATGTGGGTCTCCGTCTGTATCGCCATCCAACGCCAGATGAAGGATCTATGGTGATAAGCAAAATATTCATCAGTATGGTTATGGGCCAAGGCCAGTTCAGGCACCCTCTCCTCTGTCCAGAGAACAATCTGGGGATCTCTCCTTGGACCTGGGATCCCATATATAATCAAGTTTCCTGTAAACTCTGAAATGACTCCCTTAGTTGAAATATATTCTTCCCTGATCCCATATTCATCCTTCCTCCCTTCCCCCCATCCCGGTCAACCGAGCTTTCTCCATTCCTCCCCTACTCCCTTCTCTCTAACCCTCTCCCCTTCCAACAACCCTCCCACCCCCCCCATGCACCCAAGGTTACCTGGGACTCTTGACTATTTCCTACCTCCTGGCGGATAGCTAAATAATCTTCATCAGGTTCGTCTTCTTATTTAGCTTCTCTAAAATCACGAATAATAGGCTCAAAGACCTTTAATTATGGTTAGAATCCACTTATGAGTGAATACATACCGTGTTCCTCTTTTTGGGTTTGGCTTACCTCACTCAGTAAAGCGTTTTCTATGTCCATCCATTTGCATGCAAAATTCAAGATGTCATTATTTTTTACCGCTGAGTAAAACTCTAATGTGTATATGTTCCACACCTTTTTTAACCATTCTTCTATTGAGGGGCACCTAGGCTGTTTCCAGGTTCTGGCTATTACAAATAGTGCTGCTATGAACATAGTTGAACAAACGCTTTTGTAGTATGTTCGGGAATCTCTAGGGTATATTCCCAAGAGAGGATTTGCTGGGTCCTGAGGGAGGCTGACTCCCAGTTTCCTGAGAAACCGCCACACTGATTTCCACAGTGGCTGCACAAGTTTGCATTCCCACCAACAATGGATGAGTGTTCCCCTCATTCCACATCCTCTCCAGCATAGGCTATCATTGGTGTTTTTAACTTTAGCTATTCTGACAGGTGTAAGATGGTATCTCAAAGTGGTTTTGATTTGCATTTCCGTGATTGCTAAGGATGTTGAGCATGACTTTAAGTGTCTTATGGCCATTCGAAGTTCATCTGTTGTGAATTCTCTGTTCAGATCAGTACCCCATTTTTTAATTGGGTTAATTAGAGTTTTAGTGTCTAGTTTCTTGAGTTCTTTGTATATTCTGGAGATCAGACCTTTGTCTGATGAGGGGTAGGTGAAGATCTTCTCCCAGTCAGAAGGCAGCCTTTTTGTCTTACTGACAGTGTCCTTTGCTTTACAGAAGCTTCTCAATTTCAGCAGGTCCCATTTATTCATTGTTTCTCTTATTGTCTGTGCTACTGGGGTCCTACTTAGGAAGTGGCCTCCTGTGCCTATATCTTGTAGACTACTTCCCACTTTCTCTTCTATCAGGTTCAAAGTGGACAGATTGATGTTGATGTCTTTAATCCATTTGGACTTGAGTTTTGTGCATGGTGATAGATATGGATCTATTTTCATTCTTCTACAGGTTGACATCCAGTTATGCCAGCACCATTTGTTAAAGACGCTTTCCTTCTTCCATTGTATACCTTTAGCTCCCTTGTCAAAAATTAGGTGTTCATAGGTTTGAGGGTTAGTATCTGGGTCTTCTATTCGATTCCATAGGTCGACTTCTCTGTTCTTATGCCAATACCAAGCTGTTTTCAATACTGTAGCTCTGTAATAGAGTTTGAAGTCAGGGATAGTAATGCCTCCAGAAGTTCCTTTATTGTATAAGATTGTTTTGGCTATCCTGGGTTTTTTGTTTTTCCGTATAAACTTGATTATTGTTCTCTCAAGGTCTGTGAAGAAGTTTGATGGGATTTTGATGGGGATTGCATTGAATCTCTAGATTGCTTTTGGTAGAATTGCCATTTTTACTATGTTGATTCTCCCAATCCAAGAGCAGGGGAGGTCTTTCCATTTTCTGGTATCCTCCTCAATTTCTCTTTTCAAAGGCTTAAAGTTCTTGTCAAATAGGTCTTTCACATCCTTGGTTAGAGTAACCCCAAGATATTTTATGCTGTTTGTGGCTATCGTGAAAGGTGATGTTTCTCTGATTTCCCTCTCTGCTTCTTTATCCTTTGTGTATAGGAGGGTCACTGATTTTTTGGAGTTGATCTTGTATCCTGCCACGTTACTAACGGTGTTTATCAGCTGTAGGAGTTCTTTGGTAGAGTTTTTGGGGTCGCTTATGTACACTATCATATCGTCAGCAAATAACGAAAGTTTAACTTCATCCTTTCCAATTCGAATCCCCTTGATCCCCTTATGTTGTCTTATTGCTATTGCTAGAACTTCAAGTACTATATTGAAGAGGTATGGAGAGAGTGGACAGCCTTGTCGTGTTCCTGATTTTAGTGGAAAGGCTTTGAGTTTCTCTCCATTCAATTTGATGTTAGCTATCGGCTTGCTGTATATTGCTTTTATTATATTTAGGTATGATCCTTGTATCCCCAGTCTCTCCAACACCTTTATCATAAATGGGTGTTGAATTTTGTCAAATGCTTTTTCCGCATCCAATGAAATGATCATATGGTTTTTTTCTTTCAGTTTATTTATATGATGGATTACATTGATAGATTTGCGTATGTTGAACCATCCCTGCATCTCTGGGATGAAGTCTACTTGATCATAATGGATAATTTTTCTAATGTGTTCTTGGATTCGGTTTGCCAGTATTTTATTGAGAATTTTCGCATCGATGTTCATGAGTGAGATTGGCCTGTAATTCTCTTTCTTGGTTGTGTCTTTGTGTGGTTTTGGTATTAGGGTGACTGTAGCTTCACAAAAGGAGTTTGGCAGTGA